AATTAAAAACTGAACGCGGCTGCTCAATGCAGCGTGCCGAACGACAGTTGCATCACAGATCAGATTTCATTTATCTAGTGAGGAGAGTGAGTCGAGCTGACTGACAAGAAGAGTGGGGTGAGACAGACAAGACGATCGCGGATGATTTAGTTTCTAAACGAAATGCAAAAGCGTCTGTTTGGCAGTATTTTGGATTTTGAAAAGCCTGTTGACTTTTGCCGTTTATCTAAGGTGATTTTGGAAGTTTTTTTTAAACATTAATTTCTTATTTAATTGGTTCCACAGTGTTTGCTGATTTTTATATTTTTTAGTGTTAGTTTTAGTATTAGTGTTTGCCGATTTTTTTTTGCCGATGTATATTCCGTTTTTTTATTTATTTATTTTTTTTATTGTATCTTATTATTATGACGATTACAGGTGTGTTACCCCTGCCCCCACAGTGATACTGGTATTATCGGTGTTGTCACACATCGATTAACCGGTGGGAAAATTTCCTCACCGTCACAACCCTACTTCACAACCACAAGAGACTGCGCTTTTATTCCAATGTCCTGCCACTGTCTCAGGTTTGATTTGTAGCAGAGTTGCACCTGCATTAGTAAGTCACATAAAAAGACTGTAACTGCCCTCTAGGGATTAGCATTTTAATAATTTAATAATTAAAATAATAACAGTATGCAATTATATATTAAAATATATAAAATATTAATTGAAAAAAATATATCACTTTTACCATTTAATCATGATTTTGCAGATTTTGCCCCAAAAACTACAGCACAGAAAAAAATCTGCAAAATCCATCTGGGCTTTAAAAAGATTTGGAAATACATGCAGTATACTTTACCCCAGGTAAAATAGTAGGCACTGTTTCTGCACTGTAACCACTGGCACTTTGGATTTAAAGCACTCGCTTTCTAATGAAGAAACCATCACTAGTACTCCACTGAGCCCCTGACTGTTATTTCAGTTCCATCTGACTGAGCACCAGCACATGGTTCCACCGAGTGTCATTTTATCATGTGAAAATCCATCCCTGTGTTATAATCCTCTCATCACATTTACATTAAACTGACCTCCGGGATACAATGCTGTTCAGGTGGGATCCAAATTTAGCACCACTGATCTCTTGTGAACCACGGTGAATTCGAGGCTATGCTTCTAAACCATTCCTCTGCTGAAATGTGCACAGGCACAGAGTTGATTTTTCAGGCAACATTGGTATCTTTTACACTGCGGTATCCGACTGGATAAAGCTCCAAAAAGGGGTTAATTGGAATTTTCTAGCGTGTTGTATCCGAATACACGGTCTTGGATTTCAATGCAGGGCTATTTAAATGTGAGCGTACAGACTGAAGGAACAGGAAAACCGCTGCATTCCAGTGAGCACTGAGGCTGTGATTATTGTACAGGAAAACTGTTGTTTTCCTTAATGAACACTAAGGCAAAACAAACCACATGTTAGTGCTGTATAAACACACAGCGGCCTTGTGACTAACTTTGTGTGGTTCCCTCATCTATAGAACGTGCGCTAATGTAATGATCAGATTCCTGCCAGGGACATTGTGGTAGCTTCATAATATCTGGAAGTACGAGCCATACGTTATATTAGCGTTGGCATTGGGACATTAGAATTGGTTGAGGAATGAAAGAGTAATGCAATGTTGTGATTCATTGCAGACTCTACCCACAATTCAAAGCACAGGTGAACCGTTTCAACGGACAGAAGGGTAATTTTAAGCTCCAAGGGCTGATCTCTGTATAGAAAGCCTGGCTCAAGGGCTCAAGCTATGGATACGAGAGCAAAGCGAACCCCCTCCCGCCTCCCCGTGTGCCGTGACATATTTTCCCTCCTTTTATAAGCTACTTAACAATAGAACCAAAGTTGTTTGATCTTTTAAATTCATATTTACAGCTATTGTATTGCTTCAGATAAAGAACCTAAACCACAATCCCGTTATGGCGGAAAATCCTATTAATTGTTGGCACTTGGAAAAAAAATAACACTTTCGAATTTCATGCCTGGGATTAATCCATCATTCCTAATGACGACTAATCTTTGAGCATGTAATCTAAATGGTTAACAAAAATACCACTAGTCATACTGGCACAGAAAAGAAAGTTATTTAAGCAAACAAAATCAAGCAGCAAGGAAAAAGAAACAGAAGTTCAAAAAGTTGCTGCATTTGAAAAGGTCGATCGCTTGGCAGCGAAGAGTCTTATCTCTATTGCCATTTTTTTATCAGGTTAAAAATAGAAAGTCTAATTTTCCTTGAGGGAAGCAGCACTTTGTGGGAGTGCGTCTAAAAAACGATTAGTAGGAGAGGTTAGTCCATTAGTCTTTATTTCTTCCCTGACATTCTCTGGTGGTGA